GAGGAGAGATGGACGAGAGATGGACGAGAGATGGAGGAAAGCTGGAGGAGAGACGGAGGAGAGATGGAGGAGAGATGGAGGAAAGATGGAGGAGAGATGGAGGAAAGATGGAGGAGATATGGAGGAAAGATGGAGGAAAGATGGAGGAGAGATGGAGGGATGGAGGAGAGATGGACGAGAGATGGAGGAGGGATGGAGGAAAGATGGAGTACTCTTGATTCTCTTTCGTCTCTCCTTCCTCGAATTATCCCCCAAGCCCCTCACATTCCAAGTTGCCAAGTTCAACTTAACCATGGGCTTGGACTTCCTCCGCTAATGACTGGATGCGGGATTCTGGTTGAGCATCTCCCCACCTCGGGCGGTCCTGTGTCGGGGACTGCTGCATCGAACTACCTCTCCCTAAACCCTGGGACTGAGCGGATGATGCTGCCGATCTCCAGCCTGCCACCAAGGACTCCCCCGCGGATCTTGATTGCACATTTTTCTCCACCCTTAAGGATGTGTTAAGCTGCAGGAGCAATAGTGCAGAGACATCCTGAGCTATCGCCATAGTTTCCAGCTCGTGCCTGTTCTGTTCTCGTGCTCCATCCAACTTAAACCACCGAATCCCTACCTAGTACATCGCATCGGCTGTAGAGGCATCAATCCGGGCATCGAGAAAGGGGAAGTAGAATTTCACTATCTTATTATCTAAGGGGACTTGGCAGTTAGCCATCACCGACCTAGGCATAATACGCATCGGGAAAGCATCCCCATAGAGAAACTTCGCTCTTGTCACAATTTCCCCAGGGAGAGGGGTACTCTCTGTGGGAACAGATGGCAGTTGAACACTCCCATCCAGGTGCATCTTCCCCCAAAACACCGCATCGCCCTCCATCACTTTGCAAACCAATGGCACTAATCTACGTTCAATGGGGAGAGTTTGCAGAGCTGCCTGTCGAAGATTCGGATCTCTCCGCCGCCACCCAGGAGGGCAAATCGGTGGGAGCCCTCCCGAAACTGACCGATGTGGTGTGTGTAAAACCCTCTGTTGTCCCCTCCGACTGCCTGCAGCCCTGTTCCAGCCAGGAGTCCTCCTGGAGACCCCCCAGCATAGGAAAGTTGTTGTCTCATCTGTAGGTCCAAGTACTCCGCAGCAGCCCTTTGATACGAGTAGTAGTGCATCTGGTTGTTCTCAGGACACGTCGGATGAGCATACATATTTAGATACGACGGCGAAGGAACCGCCTGAACAGCTCCATTCCCGACACCTGGTGGATGGAAACCAAGGAGGGATCAAAGTGTTCCCTGGTGGTGGATGAGACACCTGGCGTAGCAGTTGAAAACCCTCAGCTCTCAACTCTCCCCCTGTACGCGAGATTCCAGATGGATCAATGTAGGGGCTAGGGTCTGCCTGAGGGCATGCCGCCTGTTGAAGTCCGGAGTGCCTCCCCTACAATAACTCGGTTGTTGGTGTTGACCCTGGGGCGGTGCGGCCGGGGCTCTTCCATCCGACGGCTGACCCTCAACCGGCTGTCTTTGCTGATGCTGTGCTGGCGCCTCCTGGGGAGGAAGTCTTGAATTTGCCCACACCCTCCTTGGCCTTCCATCTGAACTCTGCCTCGGGCAGTTTTCTTCCGTATGGTAGTACCATCGGCATTTTTTGCACCAATCTGAGAAGGGGGTGGGAACCTCTACCTTCCAGATTTCCCCTTTCGGGGACTCAATAACCAAATGGTCTTCCACCCTAAACCTCGCCTGTGGTTCCATATCCAATTTAACATTCACTGGTTTAGGTTTGGATCTGTCGGCTTCAAGGTGGTGCATGTGTTGACTCCCCCAATCAGCCCCTCTGCCGCTGAAGCCACGTAGTACATCGCCTCAAGGGGTACCCTCAGAGCTACTATCCAAAAGTTGACCTCTGCCTCTCTTAATTTCAACTCTTTCAGCTCCTGCTTTGTCATCCAGGGTTTCGGGGTCAATGTGTAGTCCTTGCCTCTCAAATTGAGAGTAATTGTACCTTTCTAAGAAAGCCAAGTGGCCACTTCAGTCGCCTTTGCAACATAAGAGACTATGTTGGGCCCTTCAAACTTCACCCTCCCCTGCGCAGGTCTGGGTTAAACAATCTTCTAGCCATCCAACCATCCTCGTAAGCTCTGATTAGATCCTCCTTCACTCCACGCGTCAGATCCCTGGCCTCATCCTGAAAGATAAAGATAATTGTTCTCTTTTAACCATTTTTCTTTGATTTCATCGAGCGATTCATTAACTTTAAACCTCTTCCCCCTTTCATCAATAACCACTGCCCCCAGATTAGCTGCTATCTGGAACACGCCGTCATCATAACACTGCCCTATAGATTGTCGTGTATGCTCCTCGACTTCCCAAAATTTTGTTTGGATCTCGGGGAGTCTCCCCTCCCCTGCCTCTTCTACCTCCATCTAGCACCAGGGATAACTGAACGTCACCGTTTCAAACGGCAGATACCTGGAGGGTACGACTGGGATTTCCTTCCAATCCCTTACCAGGAAGAGGTACAACCTTCACTACTCTCAAGCGCTAGATGACCGATCCGGGGGACCAGCAATAATAATTTACAGAGTTACCACCCCCTCGAGCTTCAGTGGAGCTCTTTCATCTCCGGTCTGCCAGGACAGGGCAAGCAGAGGACTATCCTACCCCCAGGAACCAACGAACGCCGCAGGGCACTACCCCCCACCGATCCCCCATACCTTCGCTGAGCAAGAAGCCAATCCTTCAAGAGAGAGCATCGTAACTGCTAAAATGAAGGTCGAGCTGTTCAAGAGACCAGTACCCTAAAGGGACTCCAGAGCGCCTTCACAGCAGTCAAATCCTACAAGAGTCGTCGAAGGAAGACCCAGGCCTTCCTACTCATCAGCTATAATCACCATGCTCGACAGCTTAACCTTCAAACAAGAGAGACTGAGGAATTACTCGGTAATAAATGAGACCAACGGAGATGTGGAGATATCACCATCACCAGGGGTGCCAGAGATATCCTAACTGAGATATCATATACCTGGGCTGACTCGAATGGGAACCAATCCGACAACTGATACCAACAAGAGTTGGTATGGCGGTCCCTTCGTTCCTTGTCGTGATGACAAGGTTGACGACGAGTCATGGCCTAACAGACCTCGGTAATACCGAGGGAGCTCGGTCGGCGCCGTTTCGGAGTGGCGCAGCAGTGCGCTAACCACCCAGCCGCGGCACTCCCCACCGCGCTTCTTCTTTTGAGATTCCGAATTGTTTTTTTCGAAAAACCTTGTTCAGTTCTTTTCCTGCATGACACAGTTTTTTATCGGATTTTTTTAATTTTATTTTCTTTTCCTGGGACCTTCCCTCGTCCTCGCACGGCCAGGCCGCCCAGAAAAGTAAGGTGACCCGAGCGGCCCGGCTGGAAGCCTAGTATAATTTTCATTTTTATTTCCGTAGTATGATTCATAATTCTTCAAAAAAATGTTGAATTGTGATAATAAATATAAGTAATTGAATTTAATTCAAAATTTTGAGTAACGAATAATTTGCAAATTACCCTCACAGGTTGAGATATATCCCAACATAACCCTGAAAAATGTGGGTAGAGCAGAATGCCCTTTAGGCCGAAATCAATGTGTAAACCAATTGCCACAGTCACAACAAAGTTCAACATATTTTTTCTTTTTTTCTTTTTCCTTTTCTTCAGCAATTTGTATTTTTTTTCTTTTCTTTTTTTTTCTTTTTTTCGATTTTTTCTTTCTTCTTTCTTCACCTCCATATCTGTTGGTAGTGTCGAAAGCTTTACCTGTCCTACAATTCGTGTTGCTCCTGACCTGCTTGATTCTATTGACCAGTCAAGAAGAGGAGCCCCCACCCCAGCAGATAGGACAGGCACGCTGAGGATGACGTGGATGTTCACAAGGATACCCAAGGAGAACTGCACCAGCACAGCATTCAGCAGGACGGCTAGCACGGACCATCCCACCAAAACAGTGAGTCGATGTAACTCTGATGAAACAGCCCCTCGTTTGTTGTACTGTTCTCCCTCTCTACCTGCGGTTTACCGGGCAGACCTGTTTGACGATACATATATATTGTCACAAAGTTATACGAGAGCAAAGCGAGACAAAACAAAGAGAAACACGAAATGAAATTTTCATTTTTTTATCTTCTTCCTTACAACTCCCCCTATTCAGAACCTCTTGCCTACAAAGCCACCCACGTGGATGTAGGTTGAGCGGCGGCTGCCCCCACCCCCGTGTGTCATATTGACCCATTTGCACACAGCCAACGGCAAAGAGGCAAAGAAAAGAGGAAGGAAACAGCCAAACACAACAGAACAGGGGGAAACAAATCCTAGATGACAAGCACCGCCCCCACGTCACAGGCCAAATGACAGGACAAGACCAACCACGATATCAAAACACTTTGCCTGCAAAGAAAGGAAATCAATCTATTGCGACTGTAGCCACCTGTGCTAAAGGAAGTCCAACAAAACATAAAAGACAATCCCAGATGACAATTCCCACATAAAAGCACCGCCCCCAAATGCACAGGCCAAACAACAGGAAACAACCAACCAGGATGTCAAAAAAAAAGCAGAACCCGCATGACTAGCCCCACATAAAAGCACCGCTACGTGTTTCAAAATAGACCAAACAACGGGACAAACCAACCTGGACGCAGACAAAGTTACCAGAACAAATTCTACCATATCCATAACGACCTGCACCCTGGCCTGCAAAAAAAACAATCCCAGATAACAAACCCTTCGTGCTGGCCAGCATAGACAGCATACCTACTAAAAGAAATGTATAAACTAAAGCTTCCATAAAATAGAGTTATTATATTAATTATATTTATTTCAATTTAAACTTCATCTTTCATTCTTGTAAATAATAAATAGAAATAGAAAGAAAAGATAATTTCAACGTTCTCTGTCAATGAAATAAAATAGAGTGTAAATGGACTTCTCTCTTTCTTGAAAAAACCACCAGTGTTCGTTTAAACTGTCTGTTTTCTAGTAGTTGGATCACCAAGTTTTTGAAATATTCCAAATTCAATTTGAGAATCATGCTTCGCTGGTCTAAACTGAAATACTGGGACACCACGAACGGCAAAGGAAATATAAAGACAATCCCAGATGACGATTCCCACCTAAAAGCACCACCCCCTTCGATAGGCCGAACAATGGGAACCAGCCAACTAGGATGCCAAAAGGGAAAACAAAACGGATGACAAGTCCCACATGAAACGCCACCACGCCGAACAATGGGAACCAGCCAACTAGGATGCCAAAAGGAAAAAAACGGATGACAAATCACACATGAAACACCACCACGTGGACCGAACAACCCACCTGAAAACACCACCACGTGGACCGAACAACGAGACAAAACCAACCGGGATGCAGACAAAGGTGCCAAAAGTACCAACAATCCTGCCATAACCATACTCGAAAAAAAGGAACCATACAGTAGGTCCGTAAAACGCAATACCCCAACAATGGGGAAGAGCAAACCAAAGAAAAAGAAAGAGAAAGAAAGACAGGAAGGGGAATTAGAAAGAGTATATTCTACCATATTGACGATATATATATGGAGACAGGGTTGCCAGGCGGAAGTACAGAGGCCCCTAAGCTGACCCCCGAACGTCCGGGCGTTCGGGTCCCCGTACGGGGCCCGAACCTGAAGGAATTCGGACCCTGCCAAAAATTTATTTGGGCACCTAAATATTATTATTTTTTTCCGAATTTTTTTTCGTGCGTTCTTTGTGATGTAAGGTATCTCCTCCTTAATTTTGAAGCATTCTGTTCAGCCAAACAAAAATGAAAAATCGGCAAAGATGGTGGTGGCAAAACGTGCTTGCCCACTCCAGATTCTCTGTTATGTAAGATACACATACAAAAAAATTCATGGCATTTGTCACAGCCAAAAAAAAAAGAAAAATCGCCAAAGATGGCGGTGCCAAAAACGTGCTCGCCCACTCAATAATTTCATTCTCGTTGTATTTTTTCTACTTTTCATTATTATTATTTATTTTTAGTATTTGATTTTTTATTTCAAATTTGGTAACAAATTTGGATGTAACGTTGAGGCAAATGTTGTTTAGTTCATTCTTCTGCATAACATTTTTTTTTTTCATATTTTCTGGAATTCCTTTTTTTTTTTTTTTTTTTTTTGGGTCTGCGTTCGGCCGAACGGCCGAACGCGTTGAGAGGGGGTGCCGAACGTTCGGGCGTTCGGGTTCAGGCGTACACAAACGTAAGGTAAGAGAGATTTCTGGAACACCAACAGGAAAACAGAACCAAAATTAAAGGGGAAGAAAAGAAGAGAAAAAAAATGTAGGTAGGTTTACGTCCTTACGTGTGCTTTTTAAAAATCAACTTTACGGCACCGACGTATGCTTTTTTCCAATATCCAATCCGAAGCTTCAAAAATAAAGACAAAATATATAGTTTGGTTCTAGGCGACCAGAGTGGACCGGGACCGCTTGCCCGGCGGGGCCCAAAAAAAATAAATAGTAAAAGATACTTTTTTCTCCTTTTTTTTTTGGTGAAATTTTTCGATGCAACCCTCGGGCAAAAGTTGTTCATTTTATTTTTTGCATAACGTAGTTTTTTTTGGAATTTTCGTTTTTTTTGGGGGGGGGCTGGGACCTTCTCTGGTTCTTGCACGGCCGGGCCGCCCGGGAAAATAAGGTGACCCGGGCGCCCGGCTGGCAGCCTACGTTTGGGTCAATGCACCCAAGTGTTCGAGAAGCTCGAACTCACTCTTTTTTTTCCCCTTTTTGATGGCCCAATGGACCACGGATCAGATATTGAACTGGTCACTAAAACTGTGAGGAACAAGCCCTCAAGGGGCCCTATCAGACATCACATTGTTCTGGGCTAAGGCCCCCTGCAAGCCAAGTGCCCGCCCTAAGTGAAGGCGGGCCTGAATATTCGTCAAAGGCAAAATGTCACATTTCCATATGTGGGTATTCAGGCTCTCGCAGCACGCCAGTTTGTTGGGAAGACGCGTAAGCCTCACATTGCTGCGCCATACAGTTGGCCCAGGCCTTGACAGTTGCGCCTGGGCACACATACACAAAGCAGGACCGATACATTGGGAAGCAGGCCTTCGGCCTTGACAAAAGCAGTAGTGCCAACACCTGCCTGGGAGCCCTGCACAGGTGCAGCAACCAACCCAAGTCCTGAGACTCAGGCCGTGCCTAACTGCAAAGGTGCCCAGGCCCTCAACTGTAGTCTCGGGCCTGGGCACAGGGTCTGGGACACAACCGGAAGCTACTGGAAGCTTCCAGCCAGGCCACACGCAGCATCCAGGAGGCTGCCACTTCCACAAAAGGAAGAGAGCAGCCCAGGCCAGGCATTCTGGCCAGCGCTGGCAATGCGGAAGTGCTGTTGCGCTCTCGCTTGATGCCGCACTGCTGCCAAGGGCGCTGACGGGGCGCGAGAGTTGAGGTGGGGCGCTGCAGGGCAGCGGGGCGCAGGCAGCCATAGCCGGGCTGCTGGGCGCCAGGGGTTACAGCGGATGATCGGGTGGTCTTCAGGGAAGGAGGCGCTGTGTGGGGTAATCAAGGTCTGATTGAGGGTGACGCGATACGTACCTGGTACATGAAGAGAGGTCGGCGATGGTGTTGGCAGTCATGTACATTGGTCTTTGAGAGTCGAAGTGATCCTGTTGCGTGAACCGGCTGTAGGTAGGCTAGTCAGGTAGAGTAGGCTGGGGGCCGAGCGCCAGACAGGAGAGAGCGACTTTGGATACTGCGTTGGTGGGGCCTACGAGCTTGGACATTGGCTCATTACTTCATTGTATTGCTCTATATGATTGGTTTTCTCGGTGCATTTGTACTCTCTGCTTGGGACACGACTACTTGTTCAGCTGTGTAATTTCGCAACTTGGTTTTATGTATGTCGCTCACACTCATATTCCTTGCAAAACATTTAATACTAAAAAAAAAGAAATTGAGAGAAAAATAGCGTAGTAAAACCAAAAAAAAACAAAAAGACACCAGGGTTGAGGAAAGTCAGGACAGCGGTCTCGTTTTGGCCACTTCTGTCGCTAGACATCGGGCCTCGGTCCACTACTCTCGACATGCCCCACTTCTGTCGCTAGGCATGGGGCCTCGACATGCCCCACTTCTGTCGCTAGGCATGGGGCCTCGCTCCACTACTCTCGACATGCCCCACTTCTGTCGCTAGACACAGGGCCTCGCTCCACTACTCTCGAAATGCCCCACTTCTGTCACTAGACATAGGGCCTCACTCCACTACTCTCGAAATGCCCCACTTCTGTCGCTAGACATAGGGCCTCGCTCCACTACTCTCAACATGCCCAAAAGACAAAAAACATGTCGTTTTGCACATTTCAAGAGTAGTGACACGAGGCCCATACTCCCAGCACCTAGGCTGGGTAAATGGTCCATACTCCCAGCACCTAGGCTGGGTAAATGGTCCGAGCAACTCTTATTCCGGAATGTTCGTCGACGGATTCCTGGCTTCATTCATTTCCTGAATGACAATAAAATGATAGCAGCGTTATTTGGGGGGGGGGGGGGGG